TCTGTCATGTTTCCATGTTGAAAACAGCATCACAATGTCCCTGTAAACCGGTAACTATGGCTGTGGATATTATGCTAAAGATACCACGTTACTGGCTTCATGTGTCCCAAATATATTTCCAATCATCATATGTTTGCCGTTTATTTTATTCCTTTAATGTCACTCCTTTCCAGTGACAAGCTTCAATCCTAGTCTTATGCTTTCACCCAGCCCACGAAGTTGCTTGTAAAGCGCTTGCTTGTCTATGTTTGATGCATTTTAAGCATAGCTTTAAAAGAGAAACAGAGATGCCAGTCACTTAGATCAAACGGTGACGCCTGAAACATGTGGAGGTTTGTACACACCAGGAGATCAATAGGCAGACAGACACAACAGCCTGCTTGCTTTATCTGCTTGTAGATAGCACTTTTTAACTCCATTTCCCTGCACTGCTGCAACAACAAACAGAGATGGTGCTACGAAGTGTAAACAGGTGTTTTACATACCTCTCCCTTTACCGGGATTCTTGTGAACGCTCTGATTATTAAATGTAGATAAATAATGCTTTGTGATGACAGTTTTGTTTAGTTTTAACAGGTAGTACTGAAGTGTAGGTGTGGATTTTTATTTTTCATGCTTCGCGTAGCATCCTCTTTGTTTTTCAGGTCATCCTGATTTCAGAATTCAGTCTTGCCTGAAACTTGTGGGTTGAAGGTTTGGTGTGTGAAAGTCTCAAGCTCTGTTGAACCAGCCATTAATTACAACATCTTCCTGAAGACATTTTTTATGACTGTATAATGTCACATTAATTCTGCTTTTGCCAGCACTGCTCATTCTTCACACCAATGAACGGCGACTGGTGCAGTCATTTTTCTTTTTATGCATTCAGCATTTAATACTGATCAGGCAAGAAATTACGCATGTATGAGAGTGTATGTAGCTTCATTATGTGTAGTATATGAATATATATATATATAGTGAGATGACAAGTAAGCACTGCTTATGTCTCATCCACACGTTGTTCAATGCATTTTTTATTTGTTTTGGCTACGTTTGAGACACTTCTTTTAATTTGTTGAGATTTTTTGCCTTCTCACTTGAGATTCATCTGTAAAACATGACACTCACTCTGTCATTATCTGGGTTGATCACCAGTGGATTTTATGTATGCAAGTACAATGTCTGTTGTTTTACAGGGAGGAAAAGTCCTACTACACACTGAAGGCCCAGGTTGTTGACATCCATACGGGCGTCCCCCTGGAACCAGAGTCCGAGTTCATCATCAAAGTGCAGGATATCAACGACAATGAGCCGCGGTTTCTAGATGGACCCTACAGCGCCAGGGTCCCGGAGATGTCCCCAACAGGTACTGCTGCTTCAGACTGAGGTGCAATGATCTAGAAAATATTCAAACAGCAGCACTGACAACACAAGTAAAGGATTCTAAGTAAGAAAAATGTACCTAAAATTCTGAAAGTGAAAGTCTGAATCCAAAAACAGGCCCCATAGGGGTGTTAAGTTCTATGTGAATATGCTGTTTGTGTTATTTATACAGTAACATTATATTGTTGCAGCAGATTTTTAAAATTTTATTTCATTTTATGCAGGGCTGCAACTAATCATCATTACATTCTGGATTTATCTTCTAAATATTTTAGATTTACAATGCATTTAAATTATCTGAATGATTCTAAATAAAAGGTAGCAAAAACTAACATTTGCAAAACCGGAACCATGAAACGTTTTTTGCATGCAGAATCGTGACTTTCCAACTTTCAGAGAGTCCATAAATGCACCGTGTATGACATGCACTTGTATCAGGAAAAATTATGTTTTACCAAAACTCATTTTATTCTCCATTTTGCATTTTAGAAAATATGCCAAAAATATACTGTGTGTACTACATTCTATTAGAAAAACAACAGCGTTCCTCAGCAAAGGGTCAAAAAGCCTCCAAAGTGCAGTTTAAGACTCTCGCTTTATGTTCTCATGCAGCTTATTCATGGAAATATCAGGAAAACAAGATTTAGTCATTTAATCAGCAACATTACAAGATCCAGAGGTCACAAGCTGCAGGCCTTTGCTGATCATTCTTAAGTTGTTAATAAGAATGATTTATTTTTATTTATTTATTTTGCATTCAAACCCATCAGAAACTTGTTGAACATTTTTTTTAACCATATGTGTTCTCTTGTGTGATGTACAAGTGTTAATTGTTTTTTTGTAGGATACCATATTTTTCAAACCCATTGGGCGATTTTGAGTTCCAGAGGGTTAGATTAAAGAAAACTACAACAAAAAAAATGTGGTGCATTTATGCCACCAAATGAAGGGTCAGAAAGCCACAAAACCATCAGGATTTATACCATCAGAGCAACAAATCTCCACAGACCAGGTCTTCTGACAGCTACAGTGGAAACAATGAAGGAAGAACCGTGCATGTGTTGCATGGATTGAAGAGATTATCATCATCCCAGGGGATCAACACTGAAAGAAAGAAAAGGATTCAATGAAGCACTGAAAAACCCCTAGCCATCTGCATAAAATTTGGACACCATATATATATATTTAAGACGCTTTACATTATGATTGCAACTGCTCTACTAGAGTTTATGGCGCGCAAAGTGCATTTTCAATTTTTGCGGATGTTGTAAAAAGAAAAAAAAAAGGTGGTGGGGGGGAGTGATAATTCTTCTTTATTATTAAGGTTGTAGTGGGTAGCGGCACACTGGACTGCAATACATGTAAAAGATTATCTAATATTATATAACTGTTGTATTGAATGGCATTAGAGTTCACAGGTGTACCTAATAAAGTGACCAGTGAGTATAGTTGTGGCTCCCGCAGTAGCACGGACAACCACAGTTTACTAAGCCAGACTTAGTAGTCCATCTGTCTGCTAAATACCATTACTGAGAGGTAATTTAACAGTCAAGGTCTTTAGGCCTTAAGCTGTTAATGCTACAGTTAAGGCCCAAAGTGCTCCAAGAGAACACAAGCTTGACCCCACTACGTCTCTGTTGCACCGTAATACAGCATCAAACCGTATAGCAGATTAACTGTGGCAGCAAACAGCACAGGCATCCATATGATAGAAACATAATCCTGTGAGAAGCTGTTGACTAAGAATAGACGCAGTCATGTTTTTTCATTATAAAGCATGAGGTTTGTGACTTTTCACGGAGTCACAGTCGACGCCTGTAGTGCTTTTGGAAACATGTGCATTTGTGTTTTGAAGCTCTGCGTTGTTTCTAAACCAAATGATTCTTTAAAGTGCAATTGTACTGGGAAATTGAGGTTATTTAGGAGGAATAATGGCACACATTTAAATGAAAATCATCGGCAGTGGCTTTAATCCCTTTGCACATCAAGACATTTACATTTTAAGTCTGAAAAATACTCATAACTGTAACGAGCATCATAAAAGCAGCCAGAGAACAAAAAAACAGAGATCACAAAAAAGATTATTAAAACAATCAGGTCACAAAACACAAGGGAAACATAAAGCGGATCATCAACGGAGCCACGTATGAAACTTTTATAAAGGCCTTTCAATAAAAGAATGCTTTAAGAAAAGACTTAACGGATACTAAAGATGCTGCCTATCTAATCTCAGTATGCACACTGGTCCACAGTTTGGGTGCTGCAACGGCAACGGCTCAAACCTTGGAACCACCAGTCGAATCCCATTTAACGATCCAAGAGAGTGCCTCTAGATGTAAGGAGTTTAAAGGTCTTCAGCATAATTTGCAGCAAGGCCATTTATTGCTTTAAGAGTAATTCATGCAATTTGAAATCAATGCAAAACTTCACAGGCAGTCAGTGTAGATTAGCCAATAAAGGAGTGATCTGTTTATATCTCTTAATGCCAGCTATGATCCAGGCAGCAGCGTTCTGAACCAGCGGACACTGTGGATCGTTGTGGATAGCAGAAAAGGAGACAAGCATGGAAACAAATTTGAGATGTGTAGAGATAAATTGGACATACTGGTTCGATAAAATATATGTAGCATGGTTCAGAAATGGTTTGCAAAGAGGCAAGTTGTTGGCAAGGTATTGAAGATACATCCTGTAGTGTGGTGCATAATGTGGTAGAAGTTGTAAAATATCTGTACATTAAACAAAGAAGTTCAGCTTTGTTTTTTATGCACATACAATTTAGGGCACTGTGTTTACTGTACAGACAATATTTTTGAGTTATCTGTACTTCTTGCCATGGCTGTTCTGTTTCCATCGAGACTTTATATTGCATTGAAAAATGAGCCCACAGTGAGTACAAGCGTAACAAAAATCATCCAGAAACTGCATTGAGTTCAGAAGGTTTAGACAGGGTTTGCCTTAGAAGACAAATAGCCACCATTGTGATGTTGTGCATAACACCATATACTATGTCTGACAGGCGTGTTTTTCTGGGGAGAAAGCAAACGTATGCTTACATAACTTGTGCATATGTCTCTTTTTTTGTTCAGGAACCTATGTCACACAGGTGACTGCCGCAGATGCAGATGACCCCACGTACGGCAACAGCGCTCGCATCGTCTACAGCATCCTCCACGGCCAGCCCTACTTCTCCGTGGACCCCAAGACAGGTGAGACGATAGCAGCACTCAAACTTTTTTTCATTACAACCTCCATGACAAACTAAGAATTTACTTATACAGCCGTACGAACAGAAGTGTGACTTTTCCATGAACCCACAGCTCACACTCCCAGCTGCACTCGCTCCCCACTAGACAGCGTGAAATTCAACTGGTCATGACACAGCGAGGGGTTCTGAGCTTCTCTTCAGTCCTGCACCTGAATGCTAAAACAAGTACCAAAGGGACGTAAAGATTTTCAGTCTTTTGCCGACGACATCTTAGCTGAGGAGTAATTACTCTGAACGCAAAGTGTCATGTTTCATTTTCGCCCAGAGGAACAGCCTTCCTCACCATTCAGCCTCCTCGTAAAGCGCCGACTGCAAAGATTCAGTCTTGAAGCAAAAGAAGTTGAAGTGGTGAGACGATCAAACTGGCAGAAGTTTGGAGGACATCACTAACTATGGCCTTCTTTCTCTGCTGCTTTTACATTTTCATCCATTGCAAACTGCCCTCTTGAACCTTTGGTGTCTGTTTAGAATTCTAGCATCCGACAAATCAAAGCGTGGCATCAAACAAACGCCCTTTACATAACTTTAGAAAGGTGTGTTTAGTGCACAGATACATGCAAGATGTTGCCTTGGTCCAGACCTTCCACTCTAACTGATTCTTTTGGCATCTTCACATGAAAACGTTGGTTTCTCTGGAGAAAAAATAACTGATCGAATGAGTGAGAGAGGTAAATATTCGCTAACTATTCTATGGGAAACACCTGTGCTGTTGTCAAGCTGTACGCCAGAACCAGGGAGGAGTCATACAAAACGGAACAAAAAGAAGAATGAGAGAGTAGTGAAATGGTTTCTTTTACTTTGCTCCACTCGTCTTTTGAAACCCCACCAAAACCAGTTTGTGAACGTGGCTTCACAACATGTTGACTCAGATGTATTAGATTCAGGTCGATACATTGGTCTCTAGGGATTGTTTAGGAAAAAGCGAATCCCCTCTGCAATGGAAATCGGCTAGCATGCAGGCAATATCAGACTGACGGTAGAAAGGGGGGTGTAGTGAGTTGATAATTCTGTTTGATATAAGGCAATGTAAGAAAATGTAAATGTGACATAAATTTCACAATCTCCCCATTCTGCACGAGCATGCAGGCTCGTTCATGCATGGAATACAAAGATAGGATCTACTGTGCATGTATGCAATCGGACTCCAGGAGAAAAATAGCAGAAACTATGCGACCATGATGTCGGCTATCGTCCGCGTGCTCGTCCAGAATGAAGCATATTCAAGGCTGACGGCAAAACGATCATTAAAATCTGCTCCTAATGTCTCTGCATTGACCATTTTTCTGCCCTTGTGTCAGGTTTGACACCTAATTTGCAATGTATGCTGTTGGGTGACCGTGACACCACCCATATTATAACTGGCCTCCTCGTTCAGCAGCTAACCAAAAACCTCACAATGCCGTCATGAAAAAAAGTCTCAAAATGTCTTTAGATGTGGCACCCATGACCCAAAACACTGACCACTCGTAGTAAACAACTTTCGTTACCTCATAACAACAGCCTGTGATGTATCAGACAATAAGAGTAGTCAGCGAAGAAATAGTCTTCGACAAGGGCGAGCACCTCCCAACTGTGGGCTGAGGAGAGACAAGGCGACAGGGTGTTGAGGGATGTGCTGCAACCAATCTGATTCACACTAGCTTCAACTCATAACGTACAGGACTTAAAGGATCTGCTGCTAATGTCACCTTCAGAGGTCTTGTAGCGTTCAGGTCTCAGCAGGTAGAAGGTGTTTTGGCAGCACATAAAGAGGAGCTATTCAGGGAAGATGTCATCTGAGCCTCTGATACTGTCAGGGAGTGTTTTGCTTCATCTTAAAGGAATCAATAGACATTTTTGGGAACTTGGCTTATTCTCTCTTTACGCAGAGAGTCGAATAAGAATGATAAAGCACCTCTGATACAAATTTACGTAATGCAGGCGGAGCAGTTCTTTCCAAAAAATGATTCATTTGTTA